GTTGTCTTAGGATTTATGCAATGTTTATCGTAAATGGCGTGGTTTATTTTTATTTTTAAAAAGTTCGGATTGTGGCTTATTCTCATTGCCATAAGGCTATTACACACTGATATATTTAACTTTGACAGTTCATAGAAGAAGGCAACCGTAACTTTTTTGGCAACCTTCCGTACGGCCCCCCTGTGAAGACCAACATCCCCGGCCTGGGAGAGGTGAAGACCGTCTATAACCAGGAGGACAATATTGCCGTGGTGGACATCTCTGTTTGTGGCGTCACGGCAGGAATCAGGTGTTTTTATTCTCATCGATAATGTTTTACACCTCCATTGACACAATATAGATCATGTATTAGTGATTTGATGTGTTCGACCCAGCACGGCCTACCCGAGCTGATTCAAGTGGGATACAATTACGTTCATTCAGCGGACAGACGTAGATAGGCTACTCGGAAACGACAACAACAACAACAACAACAACAACAACAACACCACCACCAGCAGCAGCAGCAACAACAGCAACAAGAACAACTACAAGAACAATAACAATTACAATACAATAACATCTGCAACAACAACAGCAGCAGCAACAATAACAATAACAACAAAAACCTTCCCCCATGCGCGAATCGAACTAGCGTGTTCTTAGTGCGACAGCGAAAAACCTCATATTACTCAAAAGACTCCGATAATAAGTTTTGAGGTCTTATTGAGTTTGTGTACCCGTGGTGAAAAGTTCTGGTTTCTGTTCTGTTATCCAAAAGTAAAGTAAAACACCTTTCTTAACTAATTTAGACATATCAGAAGTTGTGCTTGATTTTTTTAGTAACAGAAAAATTAAGCCTTGAAAGAATTCGTAACTGGTTTCATTTGTACGCAACCAATTGAACCCAACAAGAACGAAATGAAGGCAGTAGTCACAGACAGAAAGTTGTTGGCTTTTCTTTCAGAGGGTCCCATGGGGTATAGCCGGTCTTTTCCGTAGAACTGTTTTAAATTATCACCAGTGTGTGACCGCTGTCATTTTTTACCAATACAATTTGATGGACAAAATGGAACAATCAAAACAAAAGATCAAGACTGAGAAGGACTAAAATGAAGAGAAAAAAACCTGACAACTGCCATTTCCCCAAGTACGTGTAAGTTTCAACTGAGCTCATTGTGTTGATCCAAATTGAAATTGAGTAACCATAGTAAACTTAGTAACCAATCCTTATCTATCTCTGGACCGTGTCTGTTTCAGGGGCGTAGACTTTAGCGGGAAATACGACTTCCGTTCTCAAGTGCCAGGCGTCTACGTCACCGTGGACAGGTCGTGCTGTGAGTATGACGTGTCTATTGGACTGGTCAATGGTCTATCATAAGTTTGTTTTGTTATTATGTGTGTGTGCGTGTGTGTGTGTGTGACTCTGTGTGTGTGTGTGTGTGTGTGTGTGTGTGTGTGTGTTCGTGTGTGTAGGGGCAGGGTTGGGGGAGGGGTGTTTAACAGTGTTTCATAAAAGTGTCATAATGTCCTGAACCGTGCACTCTGACGTATTTCCTATTCACTATGGAGCACGCGACCTTTTGACACAGTTTGAGTTTGAGGCAAATGAAGGCCGAAAGGGGAAGGCGTTGCTCGCACTTGACCATAGCGAGACAAGTGTTTTACTGACATCATTTATGCGCAATGGTGCCCACGCTTCGCAGCGATTTGGTTGAGGGTTTGTTTTTTTAAGAGAGTGGAGAGCGGCAGCTTTTTTTTTTTTTTTTGGTAAGCGATTTACGGTGCTCACAGCTGCACAAGGTCATATGAGCGCTCGGGACACATTAAATAATTACAGTTGGAAGTAAATTTTGAGTTTTGGTGAAATGGTATGGGTTTAAAGCCCCTATCAATACTATTAGGTTATTTAAGGGGCGGGACCTCCTAGTTTAAGGTCCGTCTCCGATAGGACCGAGCCAAGTGGGAAGTACGTGTAAAGTGCCTTTCCCAAGAACACAACGTCAGACCGAGCTGAGGCTCGAACCCCCTAACCCTCAATCTCACGATGACGAGTCCGGTAGCCTAACCAGTAGGCTATCGACGCCACATTTTGAGTTTTGCCCGGGTGGCGGCCGTAGCCTCATCTTATTGGTTTTGTACCACCGAGGAAACTTTAACGTGCGCAACTTTCATACGGGACCACCGGGATTTTTCGCCCTTGTCCGAGAAGGCAAGGTGTAGATATCTTTCCTACCAGAAAATCAGGGGTGTGGTTGAGAGAGAGAGAGAGAGAGAGAGAGAGAGAGAGAGAGAGAGAGACGGACAGACAGAGAGCGCCAAGGATGCACAGAGAGAGAGATAGAGAGAGAGATAGAGCCAAGGATGCAGTGAGAGAGAGAGAGAGAGAGAGAGAGAGAGAGAGAGAGAGAGGGAGGGGGGGGAGAGACTGATGAGTTCGAGAGAGAGACTGATGAGTGAGTGAGTGAGTTGGAGCACGAGTGACACATGTCCGCACGTGCCCTGTGTGAGCCCCCACGACACCTGGCGACTACTGTATTATCATACCTACTGTATGTATGCGTGCGTGTGTCAATGTGTGCATCGTGCACTTTGTTCTACACTTGTCACTCACTGGCGCCCTCCTCCTCCTCCTCCTCCTCCTCCTCATCTCTCGCCTATCTCTGTGCTTGTTGCCGCCTGCTTCCACTCTGTGCTCAGGAACTAGAACTAGCCTACATGTATGTATAGAGCTAGGTATCTTCAACTACGACAGACATAGTGGTTGACTAACCTGTTGTGTCATCGGCATCATCATCAACAACGACAACAAGGAGGAGAAACTTGGATAGAGAAGGTTTAGGTGAGTGGGTTGTTGGCGGGTGCTTGGGTGTGGTCTGATCCTTCTTTCCGATCAAACATCTATTGTATGTCCTTATCACTCCTCCTTCTGTCCCCTGTATTTTACTCTCCTGTAAATAGTTGTAAAACGCCAAGAGCATGTTGTTAGAGCGTGGATATACGCTACCGTATATAAATGCTATTATTATTATTATTATTATTATTATTAATATTATTATTATTATTATTATTATTGTTGTTGTTGTTGTGTCGCAACACCTCTTATTGTCGGCGCTGATAGTGACTTTATATATATACATTTGTGCTGCGGCGACCAAGGTTTATTTGATCTTGTTCTTGTTGAGTGGTTGTGGCAGTAACTACCGGACAACAATAGATTTGTGGAGACAAGTGTCCAGAGAAGGAGTGAGTGACTCAGTGTTTGGCCTCTTATGGGGACTTCTCTTCTCCGGTTATCAGTTTGGTAAGAGCTTTACGTCGCTCGCAACCTCGTCTGGGCGGGTGGTTGGAGGGCGTCACCGGTAGGTCCTGCATCATTCTTTTTTCGCTCTCTAGTTTCTGATTGTCTGTTTTACTTTTTCCCCCTCGCTAAACGACCTTCTGTTGTGTCGATGTGATTCTCTGCTCAAACAGTCTTTGCCTGTGGTTTTGAATATGTTGTTAGTTGTTGTGAGACCAGTCCTGCTCGAGTTGACCACAGTTTTTTAATTCTTTTGGCTCGCCACGAATAGAGATTGCCCCATGTCTCCCAGCGGTCATAGTAAAGAAAGTTATACATGAGTTTAACTCTATCCGTACGTCGTGTTTTACAATCGTATCCATACGACGTGGGGAACTCTGTGCCCCCACTTTCCAAAGAGGAAATTTACTTGTTAATCCTATTCGTACGCTTTGCATAGCAGTCTGTCAACATTATTTTTTTAGAAATACTGAAAGTTTCAAAGAGATCTTCGTACTAGAAGTATTCTCAAATGTGAAGAATATTATACAACCCCGGGGGTACATAATGACCCCAGGGCATACGGATAGGGTTAACGTTCCTATCAACACTATTAGGTTATTTAAAGAGAGGGGACCTCCGAATTTAACGCCCGTCTCCGATAGGACCGGGTCAAATGGGTTGAGATCTCCATGAAAACTCTACAAAACGACCCGAGTTCAAGAATGCCCAGTCTGGAATTCGAACCTGCGCCACCTGCTCCTCAATCCAGCATGACGCCCGCACTCACCACTGTACAGTCCTAGCTAGTCTCCTGGTCTCCAGCAGCGGAGAGTGCGGTCTGTGGTCTCTGACCTAGGGTCATCTCGTCTGTCTCCGCCCGTTCGGCTGTGGTCCCGTCTCCCAGGTAGCTCAGGTGGTGGTCTGGTTGGCGGGTGTTGTGGTGTGGTTTGTTCCTTCCTTCCTTTCAAACACCTACGGTCTACTCGTATATTACCTCTCCTCCTTCTTTATAATAATATTGCATATATTACTCTTTAGTAACACCTCTCTTCTTCGGCACTTATATGATCTATGTGTTTTGAGTGTCATAAAACTCTTATAATGTAATAACGAAAACTTCAAACAACTAAAAGTGATCTAGTTTTTAGGCTGTTGGACTAGCAACTGAAAGGTCATGGGTTCGAACCCCCCACGAATATTCCTTACTTCACTCAGGTGGGAATGGGTACACAGCTATAGATAGTGAAATATCTTGTCAGTTTGTTGGTGTCGGCGCGCTGTTTCGGCTACTTGCACACTGTATTCCCGGGAAGTCAAGAACATTTCTGAGTATTCTTGGGTATCTGCTGGGGTGTGATAATAGTTGTAAGGCGCATAGAGCTTGTTGTTTGCACTATTTCCAGGTGTGTGTCATGTTGTGTCGCAGGTGTGTTTCAGGTGTCTGTCGTGTTTGTTGACGATGTGTGTGTGTCATGTGTCTTAGGTGTGTGTGTGTGTGTGTGTGTGTGTGTATGTGTGTGTGTGTG